CCATTTTGTGGAGGAGCTGCTTTTAGGTGGGCTGTTGATGCAGAGGGATTATGTCTGGACCAAGCAAAGCTCCAGTTCTGCTGCTTCCAGCTTTCTCAGAGAAGCAGGACTGGGATGAGCAACAGCACCAGGCCTGTGTGTAGGAGTATGACAGTCAGAGCTGGTTCAGCTCACTCATGCCCTCTCCAGAGCCTGGACGTCTGGATGCAGCACGGGGGAGAGAGGGCCAGCAAAGCTGCAGCTCTGGCTGGGGCCCTTGTTCAGACTCAGATTCTGCTCCTGTGCCCCTGTCCTCCTGGGGTGCTGTCAGGGCTAACAATCACCACACAGTGTTTGAGAAGGCCTGACAGGCTGAAAGGAGCAAGGACATCAGGAAGAACAACGCCATGATAGCTTGGGAGGATGCCATTTTTCAAAATATATGGTTTGCTACCACCCCCACCCCAACATTTTGAAATTCTGCAGAACCAACAATATTGGCGACCATCTGCTGTTGACTCCCTAGGAGAATATGTTATTATCTTATCAAGCCAGATGACTCAGAGAGGCATGCGTCAAAAAGGGGTGAGGGTGGAGATTAAAAGGGACCTGGGATGCTTCCCAGTCTGAGAAAGGAGTCTATGAGGATCTGACGCGTGTTGATACAACTGCTGCTCACTTTATTATATGAGTCCCCAACACCCCAAAGTCACCTCTGCTGCTGTGGCCCTGGGACTATAGTGACCCTTTTACCCCTGACCCATTCCCCTCACCCTGGGGTTGTCCCTCTGTTCCTCAGCCCCCTCCAGCTCTCCATGCAACGCTCTCGTCCTCCAGTCATTTAATGACACAGATTCCACAGGAGACATCCCTGCAGGGTGGCTAGCTGGCCTCTCCCACCCTTTCTTCCTCCCCTGCTGGAGCTGGTGGAACATGTGTGGTTGAGAAGACCTGTCCCTGCTTTCTTTGGAATCCATGGGCTTTGGGAAGCAAATTCTAGCAGGGCTGTGAACCTGCAAGGGTGATTAATAGAGGACTCTAAGAAAGCCAGTTAACAAATATTATTAGAAAATTGTCTTCTTAGGGCATCAGTTGCCCCACACAGTCACGAGGAGCCCAGCCGTGCCTGCAGGACCACTCTTGGCACAGGAGGGGGAGCCGCACCAGTGCTGGCCCCGCAGCGTGCTGGCCTCTGAGAGCGGGCTGCTCCCCAGTGTGTCTCTGAGAGGAAGTGAGGGCCCCTGAGCCTGGAGAATGGCAGATCCCCCATAGACACCCAGTCCTTGGCCAGCAGGTTCTAACACTCACAGGCCCTGGCAGCAGAGAGCGACGCACTGAAAGAGCACCTTGAGCTCTACACTGCTGTGGGAATATGCAGTGGTTTCCACTTACCCAGCTTACGTGGGGACTTATTCATGGCTCAGACCACCCCATGCCAGCCAGCAGCCTGCCCCATCACCCCACACAGGGGCAAATTCAGGATAAGCAGGAGAGGCATGGAAAGTTGTTTTGAGGTCTGGGGTAGACAGTTCCCAAGTGACTCTTTGGTTCCTTATGCCCCCACTAGTGGCTTTCCCTACTGTGGTGCTGACTCATTAGTGCCAGCAGAGACCCCCATGGCCAGATAAAATAAAGCCATCATGGGGGTCAAGAGGAGAACCTACGTCCAGGTGTGGTGCCTCACCCCACTGCTGCTGTGACATCTCCTTGGGTACCCTCCCTGCACAGACACCTCCTCAGAGAAGGAAACTTGGCTGACTGCAGGGGACATCAAGGGGCCCACTAGAAGAGAAACCTTGAAAGAGTTGCATTAACCCAAACTAAACCTATTAGTCAGACTCTATTAACACTTATACTATTAGTTCGAAAAGATGATTTAGTAAAAGACTAAGTAGACTGAATAAAACTCAGTTATACTGTTTGTCAAATGAAAGACACCTAGGTACATCTAATCAAGCCATTGTGGTCACCTTGAAGTACACTGTCCAGGATGCCAGCCACTAGCAGCACGTGACAATTTACACTCAAATTAAAATGAAATAAAATTAAAATTCAGTTCCTCACTCCCAATAATATTTCAACTGCAACCTAGAAAGTAGAACAAAGCAGATATCAACCATCTCCATCATTCCAGAAAGTTCTATTGGACAACACTGCTCCAAAATGTAAGTCCCAGGATACCAATCGTCTTCTCTTCCTCCCAACTGTGGCCATATTCACCTGGAGAGAGCCCAGCACTGAAGTGAATAAGGTCAAGATTTTCCCTAAAGTGGAGGTCCTCAAAATATGATCCAAGCCAGGGCCTCCCCGGTGGCGCAGCAGTTGAGCGCTGGGTTGAGAAGCTGCCCGCGGCCTCTGCAGCGCCGGTTCGATCCCTGGCTGCTCCCCGGCCACAGGAGGAGGGTCCCCCATAGCGCGCAGACCTCTCCTGCCACCCGCTGCTCCCCTCAGCAGTGTACTTCGGTCCTTCTGCCTGCTCTGCTCCCCGCTCTGGCTCTGGTGAATTCTTTCACCCTCCCGCGCTTCTGACTGTACCCAGTGCATGTATAAACAAACAAACAAATAAATAAATAAAACATACCTCTATTAAAAAAAAAAATATGATCCAAGCCAAACTTTCTAGTCATCATTTCTCACGATTCATTCAGTCACTAAACATATTTATTGAGACCCCTTGATAAAAAAGGTGCTCTGCCAATGTGAGGAGATTCTCCCTGTCCTTGTGGAGCTCACTTTCTACCAGGGAAGCCTGCAAGCAAACAAGGAGATTCACCCCACAATTGCAGCTGGTGAGAAATACTATGAAGGAAACAAACATGGTGGACAGGGCAGGAGGCAGCTGCTTCCTGGAGAGTAGCTGGAGAAGGTCTAGCTGAGGAGGTGGCATTCTAGACACAGCCAGATGCTCCTGAGTCCATATCCCTAGACTCTGCCACAGTGGGTGGTAAAGAGTATTTCTGTATGGCATAGTTCTGTGACTAAATGAGAGTCAAATATGCAAAAGGATATCCAGGGCATTCTTGTCCAATTGAGTCTGAAACCCTTAATGGGAGGATGAGCTTGGTCAGTGTGTAGGACAAAAAGGCAGCCCTCAGACTGGAGCAGAACCAGCAGGTGGAGAGAGAGGTGAGTGGGAATTTTAAGTATAGGCCTCCTTTTCAGGGATGCATATGCGATCTAATGATGTTTAAACAAGACTGTGCCTTGGAGACGAGGCTGGGATAGCAAACAGACAACAAGAGCTGCAGAGACTTCAGCAGACAGCCCCTGGCAACATCTGGCAAGAGATGTAGGGTGCTGGTGGGACCACCCTGGCAGCTGGGGGGTGGAGAGGCGTAGGCACACCCTGCTGAGCCTCAATCAGATTGGACTGAGTTTCCCAAAGTTGTTCAGGCTCTGAAAGTTGTTCCTCCCTGCTCTGCTCTCACTCCCACCTGCAGACACCCCCCTCATTTGGCAATGCTCTCCTCTTCAATTTTTGTTTTGGAAACTCCACTTACCCTTCAAGACCTCAGCTATGTCCTTCCCCTGGGGAATTTATTCTTTATTGCTTGCAGCGCTGATCATCTGTTCTGTTCACATACGTGATGTTCAGCATGCTCTGTGCTCATTGAGTTTGCCCGTCATCATTGGAGACTGACGATTTGAGATTGAGATTACGTAGTGTTTCGCCAACCACTGCAAGACCTGCATTCTCCTTCCACATTTCCCTGCACCAGTGTCAGGGCCAGCACCTGGCACAGAACCTTCGCTCTGAGTTCTCAACAATACCTGTTAGAGGGACAAATGGTTGACTGGCTGCCTTTGCCAATGTATGTCTTTTTCTTCGTTTAACATCTTCTGTTTATTTGCATAACCCTACTTCTTTGAATATCATTTCCTAACCAGCTCTATGGAGGGAATACAAAGCTATTCTTTTAAACATAGTATCTGTCCCTGGTGGGCTGCATTTGGCAGCAACAATGGGCTGAAACCTCCAAAGGCTTAGTAAGAGCTGTGGGGAAGTGTGAAATGTGTTCAATTAACTCCCTTTACTCAAAGTAAATGGAGGCGCTTAAGCCAACAGTCATATATTCTCAATTGCTCCTATGACTAAACTGTGAACTCCTTAAACAGGTCGATTCATCTCAGCACAGGCAGCATGGCCTATGCCTAGCACACAGTAGGCTCTCTGCAGATGGAGGCCAAATGCACCAGTAATCAGACAAGGACCGAGCCTTCAGAAGGGCCCACTTGGACTGGAGAAGCCCCCGGTGGTAGCTCTGTAGTTAGGGAGGCTGCCGAGAGGCCGAGCTCACCACCCTGGACAGAGGGGCACCGCGTCCTTCCTGCCCACTGTGTCCCAAGCAGCTGCTAGAGGTGCGCCGTGGAGGGTGAAAATGTAAAGATAGCTGTGGTGGACTATGTCTGGTCTACCTTGTCCCCTACCTCATCATGGCCTCTCTCCGCTGGCATTCACCCTTCCCATACCCTCCACCCTTTGTTCTGTCTGTCAGCAGTCCTAACAAAGGGCCTTCGCACATTTCTTGAACAAATATTAGCACCATGTCTATTTCTGCATTAGCATAGAGGACCTTAATGTGTGGTCTCTCCCAGCCCATTAGTCACAGCCTTAATTTCAGAAGCAAAAAAGAGCGGCTCTCCAGGGGGGTGGCTGGGGAGGAGGCTCCATGTGTCTGTCCAGGGCTCCATGAATGTTCTGTTGAGTTCTGCTACCAGCCCTCAAGGAAGCGCTTCCCTCCTCTCTTCCTCATGGAGATGGGAGGGGAGGGGTCCTCCTGTAGTTTCTGCAGCCATTTACTGAGGCGGCATCAATAATTCAGGACACCGGCTCCCTTTCTGAAAGCCCAGGTGAGGGCAAAGGGCCTAGCCCAGGCCAGCAGCGCATTTGCTCTCTCCTGCAAGACTCCACGGAGATCACACAAGGCTCCTGGCTGGCCAGACCACAGCGGCGCTTGGAGAGGGGAACTCGGTAAGCATTGACTTTGGAGTTGAGATCTGCTTTTGTTTTCTTTCTTTAGCTGCTGATCAGCTCGCTTGATTCTATCAGCAGGCCAGAGGCCAGGCTGGATGGAGGCCCTTCTGACCCACCTGGGTCACAGGAGCTACCCCGAGAAGGATCAGATCCCAGGCTCAGACCCAGAATTCTTCCCAGACCAGGTAAGGGGATTGAAAACCCATTTTTGGATTTTACAAATATTTGTGTGAGACTCAAAGATGAAAATATGGCTGTGACTTAAGAAAGACTGACTTCCTGAGCTAGACAGTTTGTTTGAGGTCTGGGAGGGGCGAGACCTGCTGTCACCCCCTTGGGATGGAGGGGCGTACCGCTGCCGATCCACAGCAGTAGCAACTTACACCCTCTGCTTTCCAGGCTACTCAAGGTGCTTGGGCTCCGGTATTGTTCTTGGTTGCACGCATGAGTTTGGATTCTCCAATACAACCAGCAAACATGCCCTCCTTATCAAGTCTGTTAGAGACCATATTTCTCTGAGCCATTATTTGGGATTTCTAACTCAAATTTTGAGAAATGCTTCCAATTTCCAGAATCGAGATGTAGAAAGATCTGGCCCGTGTCTAGCAGCCTCCCCACATCTGCATCCCTGTAGACTTCAGTCTCAGTACTGAACCACCTCTCACTGGATGAGAAGGACCATCTCTATTTTTTCAAGTTCTCCAGAGAAAACTCCAGAACTTTCTTTGCTACCCCACCTCCCTATGCAACCAACCTCATTGACAGAACAAACTTCTTATACTCCAAAATGCTCTCATCCCTGCTGAGGTTTCTTTCTCTCTTTCATCTACTGAAATAATCCATGATGTACATTTGTCATTAATCTTATTATTCGCTCTCGTCAACTTGAAGATGGTTTAGAGAGATGGCTGTTTTGCTCCCTGCAGCTTCTCTCCTCAAGTTACCTAGGTTGCTGAACTCATATTTTTCCTGCCCCCTGACCTTGTCTAGTCAAATTTATACCACAAACCACTGCCATGTCCAACTTCCATGGCAGAGTTTCATCAAGCCACCTCCACCTGGTGCCCCTGTCTCCACCACTGTCAACTTCCCATTGACGGAAAAGTTGACTACAAAACCACCAGGTGAGGCCTCTTTTGAGGTCCAGCTTAGCATTCAGGTCTCCAAACCAAGCCTTAGGTAATCTCTAATCATCCACCTTACTCTCTGCCCAGCAGACTGCCCTCCATTCTACCTATTAAATCCTACCAATTCAGAGCGCCACAGGGTTGTGCAGTAACGACACAGGGTCCCTGGCCTCCCTGCTCGTTGGGGGTCTAGTTAGGAAGATGGACACAAACACACAGACATTTCAGTACATATAATGTGGAAAAGTTGCTACTTTGGGGGGCTGCCACAGGGGCATGGTGTGTGTGGACCCTGAACCTGCTGTGTGGAGAGAAAGCATAAGCTGGTTCTCAGTGGGCAGGAAGGAATTAGTCTTAGGAAGACATTGGCCGGAAAGCAATTTATTGGCACCCACAACAGAGAGTTGGCCCATTGCAGAGAGCTTGCCCCACAGCCAGCCGTTGTGCTGCGCTCACTGCTTGGCCTGTCTTGCTGGACTCTTTGCCTGTAAGGTGGTATGGTTACGAGCAAAGCTGTTCTATAGACTAGAGTGGGCTGGTGCAGCCCTGCTCACATAGCCTCTCAGCCAAGGGTGGACCCTGGGGTTCAACCTAGGACCCAGTTCTACTCAGCTGACTCACTTCTGTTGAAAGATCATCCTTTACCAGAAGGACAGAGAGGCCTTCAAAGCTTTGTGATCAACAGCTTCTGGTTCTGGCTTCACATGGGTTTCCTGGGCCATCTCACTGTGCTACATGAGACCTACTGGGTCTTAGTCCTTTGCCTGGACTGGTGGTTCTCCACAGGGGATAGCTGTGGCCCCAGGGGCCATGTGGCAATGTCTAAAGACATCTTGGGTTGTCACAACTGGGGGAGGGTATGTCTGGCATCCAGGTGTGTAACTCAACCTTCCTCTGCACACAGGACCGCATGCCCACCACCCACCCACAACAGCAGAGGAATCCCCCGCCCCAGAGGCAGCACCACAGCCGCCCCATGAGCTCCTTGGCACACCGTCCTGAGCCTCCAGGAGCTCAGTACTAAGGTCTCCCCTCAGCTCCCAGGACCACCCTCAGGGTACCCAGTCCCCAGGGGTGGATCTTCTCCACATTTGCTTCAACCATCAGATCTACTTCTGCCAAGAACCCAGTGTTTTTCTCCCAAGTAGCCCTGTGGGCCGAGGTGCTGGTTGCTGGCAGCTTTCGCCAGCTCCTGTTTTGCTGGGTTGTTTGCTCCTGAGCTTGGGCCTCCTTCCCCCAACTGCCTGCATCTCGCCTGCTCCTGGCGCGGCTGCCGACAGCTGGACTCACCGAGGGAACAGGCCCAGAGCAAAAGGCCCAGGCGGCCCACCGTGCTCCCTGGCCTGCCCCAGGCCCTGAGCGAGACAGCCAGACATTTCCTCTCAGCGGAGGGTCGGCCTTTCTTCCCCCAGTTATCTGTATTTACTTGGAAAATCATTTCCTCTGTTTTCCTCAGTTTTCCTTTGAGCCCAGTTGCCGGCTCAGTTCTCCATCCCTTCTGTTTATTTCTACTTCTCATTTTTCCCATTGATCAGATGCCCTGGAAATAGAGCAGGAACAGAGTGTTCCCTGTAATATTTGGTTACACTTAATATTTCTCAGCAAAACGTTGACTTGGAACGCCAAGCAGTAAAAAGCCAGGCCCGCTCTGCTTACACTGGACATGGGCTTCGGCACAGACTCCAATTCAGGTCACATCTCTTCCCTCGTTAAAGGAGAAGCCCGCGCAGGCCAACAATGCGGGAAGGTGTCCCAGCAGGCGAGCCGCCAGGCACCCCACGGAAAGCAGTTTCCTCAAGTCAGTGAGTGGTCCTTGCACACTCGATGCCCGGCTGAGGAAAGACATCGCGGCGAACGCAGTCTGCTTGCGACACACGCCCTAAGCAGAACGGTTTTTCTAAACCAGCCTTTGCCACCATGTCTGCTAATGCCAGTTTTCTCTGATGCCATTTTCTTACTCTGAGAGCTCCAGGAGGTAAAGTGAGTAAAGATCGCCATCAGCCTAAACTGCATCCCCAAGGGGCTTCACCACCTTGCTTCAGTGATAGGCTCCAGGCCCTTTGAGAACCCCACGCACCTCAAACTAATGGAGCACTTTTGTGCAGGCGTTCTTATAGTCCTCTTTGGCGAGCTGATGAAAGCCACATTCCCTTTCTCCAGGATTCCAGTGCCCACATCACAGATTAGTGTGAAGAGCAGGAGCTCACGCAGATGAAATGCAACACCTACACCAGAGACCATCAACTAAAGGGCAGAGTTCCTAAGGGAACCCAATCCTCTTAGATGGATCGTCGCCATGTTGGCTTCGGAGATAGGATCTTCTTCCTCCACAAGCCCCACATTTGCTTTAGAATAAAAGGCTGTAAATTTTAATCCTAGGAGGGACTATTGATGGAGGCCCATGTTTTCAAACTTAAAAGTCAACCTGCCCTTTTGGTTTAAGAAAAACAATTAGAAAATATTGAAACTGAAGTATTGTTTATGTTGGTCAACAGAAAGCAACTCTAAGAATGCTCACTCCAACCTACCAACACTTTGCATCTAGACATCTCTCTTTGGGCGCAAACATGTATTTTCTCACATGTATTTGTACAAGTCAGGAAAATGAATAAAATGAAGAAAGAAATTGCAAATCAAGAAACAAAGAAGAAACTGAAAGCCAAGGTTTTCTAGGAAGACTATCCTCGCCTTTCAGCTAACAGAAAGTGGTTGAGAAGTGACCCACCGAGGCACGTCAAACATGTGGGGACATGACCAAAAGTGCTTGAGTATTCTGGGCAAAACCCACATGGCTACCTCCCACCCATCAGAGAGGGCAGGTCTTTGTCTTGGTCCTTCTCTCCTTCAGAGTCGAAAGCTATTTGGTTACATGTATGTGATCTCCACCTCTGCCCCAGCCACCTGAAGAGGTAGGATCCTTGATCTGCTGGACCTTCATCTTGGGAAGTATGGAGTGCAGTGACAGATAAGGAGATCCACTGCAGAGGTGGAATGTCAAGGGCAGGGAACCTGCAGAAGGAGAGAGCAGTAGGGAAATAAACATCACAGGAGTAGGACTTTAGAGAAAAGAGCATGTAGAGTAGGACGTCTTCCTGGACAACATGGCGGCCATTCCCTCTTTCCTAAAGCTGGAAAGGTAAATTAGCTGCAAGACCTCATCCTACTATACAGCAAGTTCTCCTTTTAGGTCATCAATATTCTATTTTTTTAAAGATTTATTTATTTATGCATACAAGAACTGGTGTATAAGCCAGAGGTGTGGGGAGTAAGAGGACTCACCAGAGACAGAGTAGGGAGCAGAACAGACAGATCTACTGAAATACACTGCTGAGAGAAGCAGGACAGGAGAGGTTTCCTGTGAGAGAAGCAGCGGGCGAGACAGGAGAGGTTTCCTGTGCCATGTGGGTCACCTCCCTGGCCAGGGATCGAACTCATGCTGCAGTGGCTGGCGATATCTTGATAGTGCTGTCTTTAACCCCTGTGCCACCAGGGAGGCCCAAGATCATCAACATTCTTGGAAACTGTGACTTTAAGCCAACTGACATATAATAAAACAGATCTTGGAATAACAACACGATTCGGTAAACACCTGATTGCTGTCATCAGCATCACCAGCAACAGCATCAGCATTGTTCTGTAGATGTTATAACAAAATGACCTCCTTCAAGGACCTGCTGTGTTTCTCTTGGATGCACACCTAGTGGATATGGGCTATACAGACCCATTTTTATTTCAGGTTCTTTTCCATGAATATGTTCCACACGCTTCTCCCAAAAGACAGAATTTTCACCAACAATCAGAGACCAGAAAGTGAAAAACAGGAAGACAAGCGAGAAAGGAAACTTTTCCTTGGGAAAGCTTTCAGAACCCTCAAGAATTTTTTTTTTGTAAATTAAAAAGATTCACTTTCAGACTAAGTTATTTGGTATATCTGAGAATTATTAATCTGAAAATAATCGGACTGACCCAAGCACGTTA